TCTTTCTTCACACGCACGAACGCATCGTCGAGAGTCAGTGCCGATAAATTAACGGGATTAATTATCCGACTATCGGATTACTCGCAGAGCGGAGAATACGGCCTACCCCTTGGTGATTTTCCTTCTACGGCTCATTACTTTCAATCGTTGGTCTTCAGCCGGTCGTTCTCTTCTTCGCTACTCGTAATTTTTAGTATAGCCGCGCGAGTGCAGGGAGGGGTAGGATTAAAGAATAAGAAGGGGAAAGCAGGGTTCGTTTATGTGACCTCATCAGCTACCCTCGATGAAAAGAGAAAGAAATAGTAAGAGAAAGAAAACTGAGAAAGAAAGAGGGAGAAATGAGAGTAAGACAAGAAGATGGAAGCCGCGTCGCCGACCGTAGCATCCCTCAAGGATTATGAGGCCAATCCTGCGGCTAATTTGCGAGCTCTCGAATTCTCAAACCCCTCTACTATCTCTCGACTTCATTCAAACCGCTCTTTGGTCTCCCTTCTAACTATTTTATCGTTGTTTCTTTCGCCTAACTCGGAAAGGAAATCTCTTCTCTTGTCATATATTAATGTCATTTCATTTCTTAATAAACACAGAATTTGTTCAGGAGATTCTAGTTGTTTGCAATCTTAACATCTTAAAAGATTTTTGAATAATTTTATAGCTACACCTCTATAAATCTGATTCATATATCATTAATTTGTATTTATAAACTGTTAATGTAACAAGTTTGCGTATTTTTATCCTGTAGTAATCCACTCACAAGCGGAAATTATGTATATCTATTCGAGGAATGTATAAGTAATGAGCTACCTCACTGACATTTACGACATATGTTTTAGCAATTACGTATTTTTGTAGGAAAAGTTACGCTTACGAAGCACCACTTACATCCGCGGCTGAATGAATAATTAATAGGAACGAGGAACTGACGGTTCTTATACGGCCGGCACGCTCTACGCGCGTTTGTTACAATCCGATTCAGTGGCGGAGGGCATTTTCGGTTCTTATCAATCGCATCCAACAATCTAACCATCCTGGCCAACATTATCTACGGCGAAACGTCCGGCAGCCGCATGGAAATAGAATAGTTAGGCATATCCTAGCTACGGCTGATAGCAGAACCGCGCGGCTCTCCCTCTCACTGTCTCTCTCTCACTGTTACTATCTTTCCCTTTTCCTCCTTCCTCTCTTTCTCTCTTTCTCTGTCTACCTATAACTTCCCCCCCC